AAATATTCAAAAAATTTAACATAAATAAGGGTATTAAAAATAAAATTGATGTTAAATAATACCATGTAATTATTTTTGAATGTATATTGTTTTATTTTCAATTATCATAATGCATTTTTCTTAGTATAAAATTCCCATATATGTTCATTACTACCCAAATACCTACTTTTTGACCATCTATATTATATTCACCATTATAAGTGATTTCATTTTTATAATCGAACTCTTCATCCAATTCAACCCACTTTCCCATCTTTTTCTCATTTCCTTGATAATCATACGATCCACCACCACTATATAATTAATTTCCCTTTATATTTTATACATTATTTACATTTATTTATATATCTTCTCACTATCCTTGCAATACATAATATTCCATCTACCTACCTTCATACCATTCAAATTATATACACCATTATAAGTGATTTGTTTTGAAGTGAAAAAACCAGTATTAAAACTTTCATCCAATTCTACCCACTTTCCAATCTTTTACTAATTTCCTTCTTAATCATATGATCCTCCACCACTATGTACTTATATAATATTTACATTTATTTAAATTCCTTCTCCTTTTATCTACAATACATAATATTCCATCTACCTATCTTGACACCGTGCATATTATATTCACCATTATAAGTTATTTATTTACTCAAAGAAAACCTTTCATCCAATTCAACCCACTTTCCAATTTTTTTCTAATTTCCTTCTTAATCATATGTTCCATAACCACTATATATTCCTTTTAATTATATATTTACATTTATTCATATTCCTCTTCATCTCGACTACAATACAGAATAACCCATCTACCTACTTTCTTACTATTCCTATTATATTCACCAGTATAAATGACTTATTTTGAAGTGTAAATGTTATCCTTAAAACTTTCATCCAATTCTACCCACTTTCCAATTTTTTGTTAATTTCCTTCATAATCATATAATCCACCACCACTATATTTCTTTATACTTCTTAATATTTACATTTATTTATATATCTTCTCATTATCCTTACAATACATAATATCCCATCTACCTACCTTCATACCATTCATATTATATTCACCATAATAGGTGATTTGTTTATGATTATAAAATCCTTCATCCAACTCAATCCACTTACCTATCTTCTATCCCTTAATATAATAACCACAACCACTAATTCTTTGATTAAAATATACATCATTTTATTCATTTATATATATTTCCATATCCCTTCTTAAATACCATTATAATATTCACCTTCTGCAAACACATTAACAAGGCTAATAATTTTAATAAATTTACCTACAATAATTCTTAAATAAATCTTTCCATAAACCTTTCTTTTAACCATTTTCTGAGTAATATCCTCCAACATTTTAAAGCTTTAATCCATTCCATTTAACACTCCATTTAGCAACTTTCTTCAAATTTTTATCATAATTTCCAACCCATTATAGATTTTGTATTTACTCTAAATTATCAAAATTTTCATCTCCTGAAGCCTAAAACATTCTATTTCTATCAAAATTATTTTAGAATATACAATTGTATTATTTTTCCCTCATAAAGATCTATGATTTCTTTTCTATTATCAAAATTTATTTAGTATTCCTTTGTGAGCCAATTTTGCTAAAAAGAATCAAAACTTAAGCATTAAAATATTTGGGATTATCTTTCAGATTGATTGATTTCCTCAAATGATTGAATTCTTAAAAAAAATAGATCATAGCTATTACCTATCAATTTATTCGATTTCCTTTGATTCAAAATTTTGATTTGAGCATGTAATTCCCATCTTAGTAATTTTAAAAAGGTTATAAATTAAAATTATTTTATTTGAAAAAAATTAAAATCAACATAAGTTATGAAATTTAATCTTTATTTATTTTATTGAGAGCATATTTATATTTATGTATTTCATTCTTCCAACAATGCAAATAGAGTTGTAAATATTATTGTTCCTGAAACAATGTTAAATCCAATTACCTTTTTAATTCATTTTATTCTACTTTATCTTGATAATAAACTTTATAAATTTTGAATAATTAAAACTTAAGTTCTAATTATAAATTAATAAAAATATATATCATAAATCTAAAGTAGTTTTGGTTATTGAAGAAGATTTTAATGTACTATAAAAAACACGAAAAGAAGTATTAGCGAAATTTATAATTGCAATTTACTCTAAA